GGTGCACACCGGTAATCCCAGCTACTTGGGAGGCTGAGGCATGATCACTTGAATCCAGGAGGTGGAGGCTGCAGTGAGCTGAGATTGCACTACTGCACTCCAAACTGGGTGGCAGAGTGAGACTCTGTCTCAAAAAAAATAAAAAATAAAAATAAAAAGAGTCAACTGAGCATGTATGTAAGGTTTCATTTCTGGACTCTCTATTCAGTTTCATTGGTCTATATATTTATTCTTTTGCCACTGCCACACCGTTTTGATTACTACAGCTTTCTAGTAACTGAAAGCCAGAAGAGTTGAGTCTGCTAGCTTTGTTCTTCTTTGTAAGATTGTTCTGGCTCTTTCAGGTCACTTGAAATTTCTTAGGAATTTTAGAGTGGGTTTTTCTATTTCTGTAAAACATGCCATTGGGATTTTGAAAGAGACTGTATTAAATCTGTAGATTTACTGCTTTGGATAGTGTTGTCATCTTAGTAACAATATGAAGTCTTCCAACTGATAAACACAGATGTCTATTTATTCATAATTTCTTTTAGCAGTGTTTTGTGGTTCTTAGTGTATAAGTCTTGCAGTTTCTTAAATTTACTCCTGTCTTTTACTGTAAATGGAAATGTCTTCTTAATTTCTTTTTTTGGATTGTTCATTGCTAGTATATCGAAATACAACTGATTTTTTTATGTGTTGGTTTTATACCCTAAATTATGCTGAATTCATTTGTTAACTTCAGTAGTTTTGTGTGGGTTTCTTTAGGGTTTTCTAAATATGAGATCATGGCATCTGAGGATAATTTTACTTCTTTCTTTCCAATTGTGATGTCTCTTATTTCATTTTCTTGCCTTATTACTATAACTTCCAATACTATGTGGAATCAAAGTGGAAAAACTGGGCATCCTTGTGTTTTTCTTGATTTTAGGGAAAACCTTACAATCACTCACCATTATGACATTAGCTATAAGGTATAAACATTTTTTTATAAATCTCCGGCCTTTATCATGGTGAGGAAGTTCATTTCTACTCCTAGTTTATACAGTGGTTTTATTTTTTATCATGAAGGAATGTTGAAATTTGCCAATGCTTTTTCCGCATCAGTAAGATAATCATGTTGTTTTTGTCACTTAATTCTACTAATGTGATGTATTACATTGATTAGTTTTCATATGTTGTACCATCCTTGCATGCTAGGGATAAGTATCACTTGGTTATGGTATACAACCCTTTTATTTTGCTGCTGAATTTGGTTGCTATTATTTTGCTATATAGCAAGATGTTTTAGCTTATGTCTTTGATATGAGATTTCCATTACTAAAAACTCATTTTTTCAATCAAGACTCATGAGATCTATCTACCAATTAATGGGAAAAACAGAGGACCAAGTCAAAGGACCTCATAGGAAGGCAAATTTCTAAAGTTAGTGATATGGGTTGGATTTGTGTCTCCACCCAAATCTTATGTTCAATTGTAATCCCCAATGTTGAAGGTGGGACCTGGTGGGAGGTGAAGGTGGGACCTGGTGGGAAGTGACTGGATCATGGGGGCAGTTTCTAATAGTTTAGCACCACACCCCTACTTCTGCCATGATTGTTAATATGGTTTGGCTATGTTCCCACCCGAATCTCATCTTGAATTGTAGTACCCATAATCCCCAAGTGTCAAGGGTGGGACCAGGACCAGGTAGAGATAATTTAATTACAGGGGCGATTTCCCCTAAACTGTTCTTGTGATAGTGAATAAGTTCTCATGAGATCTGATGGTTTTTTAAGGAGCTTTTCCCCCTTTTGCTCGGCATTTCTGTCGACATGTGAAGAAGAACGTGTTTGCTTCCCCTTCTGCTATGACTGTAAGTTTCCCAAGACATCCTCAGAAGCAGGGCAGTAGCCGCTGTGCTTCCTGTACAATCTGTAGAACCATGAGGCAATTAAACCTCTCTTCTTTATAAACTACTTAGTCTTGGTTATTTCTTTCTAGCACTGAGAAAACAAACTATTAATAGAGTCAGTAACTTAAAAGTTACTAAAATGATCTTAGAATAACTAGTTGCTGTCCAAGGGTAAAGAGAAATACTTAAAAACTTACGATTTTAATTATATACCCACTTCATATGAACTAAAGAAAAATGAATACCTAATTAAAAATGATTAAACTATTAATACTTCCTTTAAAATGTATTATTACAAAAGATATTAAGCCTCAAGTCATTTAAAACAAAAATCATATCACTACCTTAAATGTTTTATAAAAAGCAGCATCTAATGCTTTCAAAATTTCTTCATCAGGGCGCCACTTCAATTTTCCTCTGAGCCCATGACCTGTCTTGTAAGTTTCTAATGCAATCAAAATATGAAATGGATGTATACGAGCCTAGAAACAAAAAAAGGCAGAAAGTATAAAGAAAATTTTAGCAAAAAATAGTGATTATGTATATTTGTTAGATTTTTGTTATTGCAGCTAACAATATTGTGTTACTGTATTTCATACAAAAAAGAGAAAAATGAAAATGTATTCAACTTACACTTAAGAGCCATAATACAATTCAGTATGATAAATATCTCAAAATACCTTAAAAATGTGCTGACTGCATTTCTAAAATTTAAGAGCTACTTTTTCAGTTAGTAGTAGCTAAAGAACACTGATAATGCTTACCTTTTTTAATAGTTTTTCATTACACAGATTTTCACATACTAAAGATACTTCTGAATTTCCTGGTTCAAGTACTGAATTAGCAGTCATCTTTCCTAGATTCCTTAGTAATGCAGTAAGAGGCATTTCTTGTAACAAAGCCTTCCATACCTATTGCAGTAACATAGGTAGAAACATCAGGAATTAAGGGAAAATAGATCAGTATAACATATCTATATCAATAAATATTCATAATATAGTCTCTGAGGCTTTCATTTGGGGTGCAGAGTACTTTCAGAATTAAAATTTGTCTAAATCAAAGGCTCATCAAATAAGCTAACTTGTTTTTTATTAGAAAAAGGAAGTGCAGTATAAAGGAAATACATAGATGATTATTTTTTAACTAGCAAGGCAGTAGACTTTCTACAGTGAAACTAACACAAATGCCACTTACATCACATTGGACATCATGGTAGGTGTTTTAAATAGACATTAATTTCAAGATATATTTTAAATAATTTCTCTTTTTAAAAGAATATATAGTTACCCCGTTTATCCTTTGAACACCTACAGTAAATTACTCATGTTTAATCACATGCTGTATCATATAATTTACTCACCTCCTTAGACTTTAAGTGATTTGTTAAAAGGTGTTCTCTAACTAATCTGTGTTCTTCTATTAGATGAATGACTTCTAGCTCATCTCTTGTGCGCTTCACTTTCTCTACAGCTTCCAGATATTTTAATAATTTTTCAGTCTCCACAGAGAGTGCTTTTTCTTTATACAACTCATGAACTTCTTTCCAGCCCTTTGTAATATATTTGGTCACAATTGCAAGTCCTTTAACAAGATAAAGAATTGAAAAAGCATGCATGATTACCAAGTAAAAAAACAGGACATGTTTCCACAAAATGCATTATATGATCAACATAACTAGATACACAAGAATTAACACCTTTACACTGGGATGCTGCTTTCTATGATATAACAATTAAGCACAGAGGTTGAATTAATTTTCTTATTCCATTATTACTATTTAAATATGAGACGCTGGAGTAAAAAAACCTTCTGTATCCTGAGTCATTTTATTACAGAGGCTTTTCTTTCTTTTTTTTTTAAAGACACCAGTATTAGAAAGTTTTAGGTCCATAATCTCAGGACAATTCACAAGAGTACAGATCGATCTCAACTAATATTATATTAATTATATTCACTTGTCTCTCTTTGCTGTTGAATAAAATATACATATTTACAAACAGCAGAAGTAAGAAGTGGACAGGTAGGTAAGTTCTTTTACATTATGTTTTAATAGATGAGAAGTATTACCGGTCCAAAAAAAAAAAAAAAAGAAAGACAGTAACTTTTTGATTCCTTCCACAATTTCTTCCAATAGAAGAAAGAGAAAACAGCTTTTGATTAGGGGTGAGAAAATCTGGGTTCTAGCCTATACTTTACCAACAAATGGTGATCTTTCTAGGTCTTAGTTTCACCACTTCTATAAAACATCAGGGACTGGATTACAAAATTAAAACATCTATGAGGGAAGGGCATAGAAAATAAAGAAAGAAAACACAGTGAGAACAGGCACCATGACTCACGCCTGTAATCCTGGCACTCTGGGACGCCGAGGCGTCCTGTGGATCACCTGAGGCCTAGGGTTCGAGATCGGTATGCCCAACATGGTGAAACTCTGTCTCTACCAAAAATAAGAAAATTAGCTGGGCATCATGGCACATGCCTGTAATACCACCTACTTGGGAAGCTGAGATAGGAGAATTATCTGAACCCAGGAGGCAGAGGTTGCAGTGGGCCAAGATCGCGCCAGTGTACCCCAGCCTGGGCGAAAGAGTGAGACTCCATCTCAAAAAAAAAACCACCATGGTGACGCAATAGGGAGTTGTTAGGTTGTGGTGACTGAAGAGAGTATGCCCTGACAAGAGCTGTAGCTATGTATTGACTAATTACTACCAAAAGAAAAAAATTTACTTTCAAGCGAAGCCAGAATACAGGTTTTTATGTTTTCTGATTTTTAAAGATGACAAAAAATTCATTTTTTTCCCTACAACATCATATAGGCCATATGAAACACATCTTTTTGCTGATTGAGCCTATAATGTTATTTTTAAATTCTAATTTAAATAACTTGATGAAAAGTTAACACTAACATGCAGGCCCTTCTCAAGTACTGTGACTTTTGTCATGTTCCAAATTTTGGTACAAAATCATCTTAAATGAGTAAATGTTTCATGTGCGTGTATCTTCTATTTTGTTTTTCTAGTGAAAACAAAAATTCCTTAAAGCAGATCTGTCCTACCCAGTTGTGTAATTGGGTTGGCCAATTGTTGAGATGGGTCATGGAATGTGAAGCAAGAACTAGACTAAGAGAAAGACCGCCTGTTACTAGTTACATGCAGGACCTTCTCAAGTATTGTGACTCTTGGTATGTTACACATTTTAGTACAAAATCAACTAAAAATACCGTACCTGATTACTTAAATCGCATTTTGACTTGTTTTATCTGTTATAAATACATATTATAGTTTAGGCATTAAAATTATTAATTCTGTAGCTTAGAGTTTTTCCAAATTTTTAAACTTTGAAACACTATGGATTCTCTATCTCCATCATGATATTGCCATTACTAACATGGTTTCAATGATGAGTTCTGCCCTCAACAACTTCAAATTGAAGAATCCTATGTGTGGAAGTAAGTTTACGGGACATCTACTAATTCCTCATGACATAGACCAAGAAAACAAAGCACAGAAAATTATTTTCACAAGTTCAGAAACTAATTGGTCCAATTAGAACTAGTAACAGGTGGTCTTAGTCCAGTTCTTGCTTCACACTTCCATGACCCATCTCAACAAACAAATAAATAAAGCTGGATGCCTAAGTCCTTCTTACGTTGATCAAATGTTTGGATCAAAAATTTAAACGTAGAAAATAATGTTTCTTAACCATTAAAATGTTAGGAAAAAAACCACAGATACATATTTTAGGCCAGCAAAGGCCTTTCTAATCCTAACACAAAACATAAACCTATGAAGACGTGGATACATTTGATTACATTAAAATTCCAAACTTTAGTGTGCCATAAATGTCCCCCTGGACAAAGAAAAAAAAAAACACAGAAGGAAAAATGCATGTAATGTATATAAATAATACATTATTATTAACTCCTGTAATATGAACCCCAAGTTCTTAGAACAGTGTCTATCCATAGTAGTGTGCAATAAATATTTGCTGAGGGCCAGGCATGGTGGTTCACACCTGCAGTCCAAGCACTTTGGGAGGCTGAAGTGGGCAGATTACCTGAATCAGGAGTTTGAGATCAGCCTGACCAACATGGTGACACTCTGTCTCTATTAAAAATACAAAAATTAGCTGGGCGTGGTGGTAGATGACTATAATCCCAGCTACTTGGGAGGCTGAGGCAGGAAAACTACTTGAACCCAGGAGGTGAAGGTTGCAGTGAGCCTAGATTGTGCCATTGCACTCCAGCCTGGGCAACGAAAGCAAAGCTCCATCTCAAAATAAACAAACAAATAAAATAAATAAATATCTGTTGAATGAATAGTGACTACAATCAATAGTTAAAAAGACAGTAAGTGGATAAAAGGCTACGATACAATAGTATAAACTATTTTATATATATGCATATATGTCTATTATATATATGTGTGTGTGTGTGTGTGTGTGTATATATATATATATATATATATATATAAAATCAGCACATGAAAAGATGAGCTTCTGTCCAAAAATGTAAATTCCAAGAACAAGATAGAATCTTTCACCATTCTATTGGAAGAGATTAAAAAATAAAGACAACAGCCAGTGTTCAAATGTGGGTACATTGATCCCTTTCACATACTGTTTGTGGATTTAACCATTATGCAAGTATGTACTCTATGCAAGTGTTTTCACTGTAGTATTTTTATAACAGTATAAGAAACCAGAAACAACTGTTGTCAAAGAGACTAGCTAAATAAATTATAGTCATACAACACTATATATGCAACTATTTCTACTGACCTGAAAAAAATAGCAATAATATACTTTTTACTGAAACACGGAAAACATATAACAAAATTTAGTGAAACATAGTAATATATGTTTAGGAAAAATCTGGAGTAAATTACAATGTATCATATACAGCAAGGGTCCTCAACTCCCAGGCTATGTACCGATTACCAGTCCAGGGACTGTTAGGAACTGGGCTGTACAGCAGGAGGTGAGAAGCAGGTGAGTGAGCTCCATGTCCTGTAAGATCAGTGGCTGGCCATTAGAGTCTCACAGGAGTGAGAACCCTACTGTGAACTGCACATGTGAGGGATCTAGATGGCGTTCTCCTTATGTGAACCTAACGCCTGAGGTGGAACAGTTTCATTTTGAAACCACCCTGCCCTCCCTACTGTTTGTCGAAAAATTTTCCTCCATAAAACCAGTCCCTGGTACCAAAAAGACTGGGGACTGCTGATATGCAGTGATTTCTTTTGAAGGGTAGGACTGCGTCATATGTTTCTGTATCATTCAACTATTTTAAAACATATAATCTAATAAAAAAAATAAAATGCTTGTACATATAAATATTTGCAATTTATTGTTTACATTTCATTTGAAAAATTCTACTTGTAGTCAAAAAAACATTAAGTTAAAAATTACTGAAGAGATTCTGTGTATAAAGATATGCGTGGAAGAAGAAAGAGAGAACCAACAGTGTACTTCTATTATGTTAGGTGCTAGGACATTTAGTCACAATAACTGTGATAATTGTAAACTTATTCTCCTTACCCTACTTTTAATAGATGAAGGTACAGAAACTCAGGTTAAGTTATTTGGCTTAAGGCCACAGAATTGAAATGTGAATCCACCCTTCTGAGTGGATGTCTTTTCAAGTTTCACTTCTGGTGCAAAAAAAAAAAAAAAAAAAAAAGTCAAATTTTGGACATGTTGATTTTTGTGGAAGTTCACACTTTAATCTTACTTCTGCCCAAGAGCTTTTCTTATTTATCTCTTTAAAAGGACTAGTAATTACTATGGATCCAAGTAACTTCTCAAAGGTCTCTATCCATAGATACAGAAAAACTGCCCCAAGTTACCATGTCCTCTAACTAACTGCCTGAAGACAATGAACTTCCTGAATTGTTAAGTTCAGCACTAGCAGGTAACTGATATAGTGTATCTTTAGGTTCCATAGAACACACATCCTTGGAAGACAAGATGGGGAGGGTAAAAAATAATGGGCTAGAGCGGTGGGTACAGCATGGCCATCTGCCACCTACTGGCAAGGAGCTGTTTTGCCTATTCTGACTTTTGATCTTGCCCATCCTGCTTACACAGTCCATAATCCCTTGGGTGAGCATTACAGTTAGGACACTGACATTTTAAGTTTCAGAATATTAACCTACAAGACTGTCATTTGATTCTTGATTATTAATGTCTTGATGGCCTGTGGTAGGTGTGTAATTCCAGGAAGGCATTAAACATATTTGAATGAATGTATGTTTTGAGAATGAAAGGCAAAATATTACATGCTTGTTTTATATTAAATAAAAATGTGCTATTCATTGGATATCCCTTATCCACCCCTCTTACCAATGATCTTATGCTTACCTTCACTGGAAGGTTTAAGATGTGACAATCTTAACAGATCTTTGTGAGACCAGCCATTTCTCTGTTTATATTTTGTAACTGCCAGAGCAAGGGCCATGCCACCTTTCTCATTGTACCAGTCTGCTATAGCCTTCCGGAGGGCACGTCCCCACATGCCACATTTCATGCTTTCTTTCAGATCTTTCTTAAACTGGATAAAAGTAAAGAGATGAGTAGGAATGCGACAAACTTCAGAAACAGCTTTAAATGCTGCTTGTTTTGTGCTTATGTCAGAGCACTGGGAACAAATGGCAAGTGCAAAGAGCATAGGCTCTTGTTTTGTGGTTCTGCCTTCTTGACTAAATGACTTTATTTCTTGTATCACTTCACATCCTCTGCCATCTTCGATCAATCTAATTAAAGCTTCAGCATTTTCAAGGCCCAACTTCTGTTCTTTGATATAGTAAGTCCCACCTTCAGAACCAAAACATAAGAACCGGTGTAGACGATTCATGTCAGTGACTTGCCATACATGTCCATCCTGCGAATTGGCTATCTGCTTCTCATTCAGTGGCTGCATTTGGTTTACAGATTCCTCCATTTTTCCTGTCTTTTAGGAAACCTATCAAAAAGGCAAAATGTTATTACAACTAGATGGGCACAATAAAATTACAAAAGGAAAACAAAATGTAGTTTTATTGAAATGTTATTACTTTAAAAACATCTTTTAAGTTCAATAGTTTTCCTTTACTACAAAATCGATATAAATGTCCTGAAGAAAAATCAGGAAAGGCAGAAAATGAAAGAAACATATTTGAGTATTTTGAAATGACTACTGGTAATATCTTAAGTTTTTAAAGTGTTTTTGTTTTGCATTCATATTTTTACAATCTAAAGAAACTAAAAGTCCTTCACAGCAAACAAACTAGATTATAGCCACTGTGGTGTGATAATCAGAAGCAAATGAGTCACATTTTTGAAATACAGTGTGCTGCTTCAGAGATTAAGCAGGTAGGTCAGCATGGCCTCATGAGGCCCACCCACACAGAGAATAAAAGAAGGGAGGGCAGCAACAGAAGCTGACACTAAGAAAGACCGTACTCCCAGAAGAACTGTGTCAACATTTTTTGGCTGCCTATCTAACATTCATTCTTCCCTGTTCTCTCTTCTCTTCTTGGCCTCATATCCTTCAAAGGAGGCTAAGCCCTTCCCTAGCCCCAAGGGATGGATCTTGATTGCTCTAAGCCAGTGGTTCACAAACTCAGTGTACATCGAAATTACTTGAAGTACTAATTGAAACACAGACTGGTGGGTCAGCACCCTCTCAGGCACTGCCCAGTGTTTCTTTCATAATTCAGTAGGTTTGCAGTGAGGCCTAAGCATGTATACTCATCACAAGTTCCTGGGTGATGATGCTGCTGCTGGACCCAGGCCCAATAATCATGGTGCTCTCCTTGCCACATGACTGGTATAGGCAGTTGGGCATGTGTTATCACTCTGGCCAGTATGACATGATAAATCAGCTTTTGAGATTTCCTTCATTCTAAAAGTGGGCTAAGGCTCTTAAAAAGAAATGTTCCCTTTTCTGCCTTCTGACATTTTCATTTGCAAGTGATGCCTGGAGTGCTAACAACCATCTTGAGACCTTGAGAGAAGCCAGTTTAAGAGAGCATACCAATATATAAAGACATCAGAACGGAAAAAAACAGAAAGAACCTGGGTCCTTAATATCACTGAGTTACCTGAAACTGCCCTGCTTATAAATTTATTATGTCATAAATGTATCCTTATTGTTTAAACCATTTTTAGGTTTACTGTTTTTTTTTTTTTTTTGAGACAGAGTTTCACTCTTGTTACCCAGGCTGGAGTGTAATGGTGCGATCTCTGCCTCCTGGGTTCAGGCAATTCCCCTGCCTCAACCTCCTGAGTAGCTGGGATTACAGGCACGCGCCACCATGCCCAGCTAATGTTTTGTATTTTTAGTAGAGATGGGGTTTCACCACGTTGACCAGGATGGTCTTGATCTCTTGACCTCATGATCCACCCGCCTCGGCCTCCCAAAGTGCTGGGATTACAGGTGTGAGCCACTGCGCCCGGCAGAGGTTAACTGTTTTGTGTTGTCTGTAAGTACCCTCTCTCTACTGCTTCCATTACCTGTAAAACTCCTAGAACGAGCTGTCTGCAAACAATCTCCCTCTTTATCCTTCTAATGGAGGAACCACAACTGTCACTTCTTCATCAGTCCACCTCTATTCTTACTACAGTATCACTGTTTATTGAGGTCCTTCAATCTGTCATGTTATTTCGGTGTACTGGGCTTCTGTCCATGGCAAACAAAACAGCACAACTAACAAAAACTTCAACCAGCATTTACTGAATACATACTATGTATAAGATATGAAGGCGATTTCTCTGCCATTAAAGAGACTAAAAAAAAATTTGTTCTCCTGCTCTCAGGGAAATCACATTCATCTGCAGAGACAGAATCACAATGCAAACTGTAATGAAGTACTGCAGTAGAAAAGTATTATGAGTGAGCAAGGGAGTATAAAATAATATTGTCTCAAAAATCCAGAAAGATTTGTGCAGAGAAGGTGAACTGCAATTAAGTGCTGTAGTAGAAAAGTGAGTGAGCAAGGGAGTAAATAATACTGTCTAAATAATCCAGAAAGATTTGAGCAGAGAAGGCCAACAAAAAAACTGATAAATTTAGGGAAGGCACTCCAGGAAGAGGTTTCTGAAATCCTGGTCTCTCTTTATATTCCAGAAAAGAAATTGTCTAAGCATCCTGCAGAGCCATAAAGACATGTTGACAAATATGGTCATAATCTAAAGAGGAACACAAGGTAAAAGAGGTTTTTCTTTCTTGAAGGTCACCCTTACTTGAGCATATTTACATATTGTGAAGAAGACTAAGGATTGAATCTTGGTGAATATTAACAAGTTAGAACTAAGGAAAGAAGGGCCTTTTAAAGAGAGATAGAAAAGGAGGTGCACGGAGTTGAAGAAAACTGAGAATACAGTATAGAATATTTATAGAATATAAACAGAGAATATAGTATCATGGACCACAATGAAGAGAACTTCAAGTGAATGGTTGGTAATGTCAAATGGTCAGAGGACAAGTAAATAAAGGGCTAGAAAATGACCACTGAATTTAGCAAACAGGAGTGACTAGTGAGAGCAACTGGAGTAGGGTGGTACAAGAAGTAGCTTGATTACAGTGAGATCAGGAGGATGTGCAGTGAGGAAGAAACTTCACAGATAGACTACTCTTTTGTAGACACATGCTTAAAAACTAAGAGAGAGGATGGGACATAGAGGAAAAATCTTTTTACCTTTTTCAATGGGAAGATGCTAAGGTTGAATGATTCAATTTGGAGAGTTGAAGATACAGAAGAGAAGGGGGATAATTGAAGGAATTAGATTCCTGAAAGAAATGAGACATAATGAGCTTAGAGCATCCAGGTTGAGCCTGGTCTACTGAGAGCAAAAGATGTACTTCCTTTATCTTTTAAGGGTAAAGAGTATAGGTAAAGATAGATTTGAGGGAGTGAGGGATAAGGAAATTGAAGACATTCCCCTCTGACAGGAGATGTAGAATGCCAAATGGTTAAGTAGAGAAGTTTGGTAGATGGGGTGGAATGAAAGACTGGGTCTCAGAGAAGGGAGCACATAGTGGTGTGGGGGGATAAGTGCATGGGAGAATGGAGAGCCTCACATTTTGAATGTGACTAAGGGGGACAGTGATCTGAACTGTGCTAGAAATATTAGTGTCAATATTTCAAATAAGACTCGACATTAGTTGTTAGAAACAAATTAATACTTACTGAATATAGCACAGGCTGAAACTCCTGGATGCCTCTTCTCCTATTTATTATTATCCTCTTTTCAATTTGGCTTTTATCTCTACCTTTCGATTCAAAACACTTTAAGAAGACTAACATGCTGCTCAAAGACTGACACCTTAATTGCAAATTCCAGTAGAAAATGTTATCTTTTTCTGTACATTGCAAAGACCTTGCTAGTCCCTCCCTTAGCTTTCATAAAAACAGTCTCTGGTGGCACTCCAACTTATCTACTTCTGCTTATTAGTTATATTTGTTAGATGAGTAACATTAAAATGACATCTAGTATCAGATAATTCCACTATACCACCTTTCCTGCACCAAGGCACATCTGGTGGGATTTAAAAGGTCCCAAATTAAACCTTGAAATTTCCTGTCCCCTCAAATTCTTTTCCTTGTATTATTCATTGTGACCACATGCAGCTGCATTATTGGTTCCCTTGAGAGCAGAAAAAACCAAGTTACCATTTTTATCTTTTGTAGTGCTTTTATGTAATTAGTAATACATACTTAAAGCCAAGTATCATTAAAGTTGACTTTCTGAACCATTTGCCAAAGAATTACCCATAACTGGTTTCTCTTTCCCGTAGCATGTTTATTTTGAAAATAAAAGCCTCAATATGTGTAATGCAAAATGTAATACAAATCTTTAAGGTAAATTCTGTAATCAGAATAAAATAATAAATGTACTATATGCAGGCAGTGAAAATATAATGAAGAAAAAATTAAAAAGTACTAAAGAAAAGTAATGAATTCTGGGTAAAAATGTCATCTAAGAATAATATTTCTGTTTTTCTAATATATTTAATATTAGGTATTCAAGTACTTTTCTAGAGCAAGCAGCAAAATGAAGGCTCAGAGGTCATCTGTAGGTGTAATCCTTATAATCCCTATTACAAAAAATAAAGTCACTTATTCATAGACTCTTCCTTTTGTATATTATGATATAAATGACAACCCTGGGGACATACCCTTTCAGTGTTTCTGCAGCAGAAACTGCTTAGCTTTTTCTGTGCTTCTGTGACTGTACTTTCCAGAGTGTAACACAAAACAGTTGAACAGATAACATTATTAGCAGCCAGGGCACCTTTCTACTTGATTGTATAAATTTACCAGGGTCATATTCATATTTTAAAAATGAAAGATGAAAAACAGAATGGTAACAAGTCCCAAGCTACTCTCCTTCTTGTCACTGAGTGTGATATGCAAATATACTTAAAATTTGGCTAAGTGATGTGATACTGTGGCATCTTACAAGAAAGAGGATCTGGTCTTTGTACATAGTTCCCAGTAGAAAGTATCAAAAAGCTGTGGAATTTCCCAAGAAACAGGAGTGTCTGTATTACATTAACGAGGTGACATAGGCCCCTAGGTAGCTTCAGGATGGGGGCTAGTCACTAGACAGAACCACCATATGTTTAGAGGAATAAACTGGTCAGGACAATTTTCTAGGAAAAGAGGAAGACTTAAGTTTAAGTTTAGTCATGTAGCTAATGATTTAATCAATCATGCCCACGTAATGAAACCTCATAAAAACTCTGTTTATCAATGCTCAGTGGAGCATCCTTGCTGAACACACACTCATGTGCTGGGAAGGTGATATGCCCACATTTCATAAGGATGACATGAAGTTCAGCATACTTCCCTTGCCCCAGACCTTGCCATATGTGTCTACTTCCTGTTTGGCTGTTCCTGAATTGTGTCCCTTATAATAAAACTGTAATCCAAGTAGAGCACTTTCAGTGAGTTACGTGAGTCAATGTAGTGAATTATCAGCCTTGAGGGGATCATGGAAAGTCCTGAATTCCTAGCTCGCAAGGCAGAAGTGTGAGTAGCCTGGGGACCCCACGTGCAGCTGGTGTCCAAATCAATGGCATTCTTAGTGGGGACCTTGCCTTTCAATTTATGGGATCTGATGCCAACCCTGGGTAGTTAGTGTCAGTGCTCAATGGAAGTGGAGGACACCCACCTGGTGCTACAGAATTTGTGTTGGAACACAGACACCAAAGGCAAAAGTGACCAAAAAAAAGATTAACTGCACTTATCAAAATTTGAAATTTCTGTTTCCAAGGACATCATCAAGAAAGTGAAATGACAACCCAAGAACAGAGAAAATATTTGGAAATCATACATATGATAAGGGACTTGTATCTAGACTATATTAAGAACACTTAGAACTTAATAATAAAGTGATAAATAACCCAAGTAAAAATAGCCAAAAGATGTGAACAAACATTACTCCAAAGAAATACAAATGGGCAAAGAATCTGAAAAGGTGTTTTTTGAAAGATTATCAAATGGCCAATAAACAAATAAAAAGATGACGAACATCATTAGTCATCAGAGAAATGCAAATCAAAACCACAAGATATCACTTCACATCTACTATGATGGTTATAATCAAAACAATAATATTAAGTGTTGGTGAAGATTTGGAGAAATTGAAACGCTCATATACTGCTGGTGGGAATGTAAAATAATACAGCCACCTTGGAAAACAGTCTGGCAGTTTCTCAAAAGGTTAAATATAGTTAGCATACGACCCAGGAAATCCACCACACACCTAAGAAAAATGAATACATGTACCTATACCAAAAGTTGTACACAGATGTTTTTATCAATATTCAAAAAGTAGAAGCAACATCAGTCAAAAGGCAGAAGCAACCCAAATGTCCATCAACTGATGAAGGGATGTAAAAATATGGTATATCCATACAATGGACTATTATTAGACAACAAAAAGGGATGAAGTACTGACTGATACAAGACACAATGTAAACAAACCTTGAAAACACTATCCCAAGTGAAAGAAGCCAGTCACAAAAGGCTACATATTATATTACAATTCCATTTACATGAATTTTTCAGAGTAGGTAAATTCATAGAAATAAAAAGTACATTAGTCTAAGGTTGTCAGAGGTTATGGGGAGGGAAGACTGGGAAGTGACTGCTAATGGGTAGGGGATTTCTACTGGGTGATGAAAATGTTCTGAAATTAGTGGTGATGATTGTGCAACTCTGAATATACTAGAAACCAATGCACTGGATACTTTAGTAAACATCATGATATGTGATTTATATTCTAAAGATCTATTATTTAAAATATAAAAATAAACTGGCTAGGTAAAATACATTTGGAAAGTTATTTAAATAACTTAAAATAACTCTGCTATTATCTATATCAGAATGGAGAATACCAATAGAATTGATTACATGAAAATAGTATTTAGCCCTATAATTTTTGTATTTGACTTTCAAAAGCAATTTGAGATACACACAGACATATACAGCAACTTAATTTCTTCTTTCTCCACCTGCCATCATCTCCTGCCTCAAAGCATAAGCTCCATTACTAGTGGTTTAGAAGGCAACTGGGCAGTGAGTGAGGTCAGAGCCTGGTCATCAGTTAATCCATTCCTGGATAATCAAGTGTTGTAAATCCAGATTAACAACAAAAAAGTACAGTTAATTCTTTATATGGGCCTGATCTATCTATCTAGTGCTCTTAAAGCACATCATACAACTAATGTTGTATTAAATCTGTATAAATTAAATTATTGAGAAGTTAAATATTACAATACTATAATATTAAAAGCATGGTCACATTTGAAATTGGTTGTATTTTATACATTGTCCATTTCTCTACTTTTAAAATTTATTTAGGCTGCAAAATCAGGAAATGCTAATAACACACATTATATAATCGCACTTCTTTTCGTTTCACAATCATCAGAACTTACAACACGTACAGTATCTTTTATCAGTACTAATATGTTATTTCCAAGGAATCTTATTTTTTCTTGAATTTACACATCTCAAAAGCTTTCCAAAGTCTCTTGATAATTTATTTGAAAATGCTACCTTTCATGCCAAGAAGTCATACATTTGCAGTTTATTCCTTTTTAAATGAAGTCAAAGCTGACATATCTATGCAAGAGTACAAGACAAATGTAAAGAGACAATACTACAAAAATGGGCCCATGATACAGGTACTTGAATCCACTGGTCAATGTGATGCTATAAAAACTGATGAGAAAGGACTGTGGCAAAAATGACAGCATGCTAGTCTGAGGGGAGCTGCCAGATGGCTGCCTTGTGGTATGAAACTAGTGGTACCAGATCTCATTCTTCTCAAAAATCCAGAAACCCGGCTTTTTATGTGAACTCTCAGGATTAAATGTTAACATAACTAATTTTTATCCCCTTCTCTGCTTGTTTCTATATTGTTCCAAAGGCTAAATTTTCAGTTTGGTCTTTCTACAATAGGTATCATGTTAACTAAGTTGGGTATCACATAAATTTTAGTTTTGATGTATTTATTTTGCACAAAAACATTTACAAGTTCACAGCAATACTACTGCAGATTAAAAAAATACCATAAACCACTTCGGGCTCTGATGCCATTCAGAATTTTTGTGCCTCTTAAACCTTTCCAATTAAGTATCGCAAGGGAACACACTGAAGGGCAGAGTTTCCTGAGATAAACTTCAAGAAACTTACAATTTTTTTTTTAAACCAGAACTTCACACTAATTTTGGCTCCTACCCCATAACTGCTCATGTTTGTTTTAATACAAAAGCTACTCTGTTGCTTCCCTTAAGACAATTTACCATGCTTATTTCGTGGCTTCACATAAGGGAAGCCCTCCAGGGCATAGGTCACCTGTTTGAGAAGGAAGAAGACAGTTTTATCCACTAAAACATTTTTTTTCTCTTCTGGAAGCCAAAGGTCTTTCTTGGGACATGTAACTTCTAAGGAGTAAATATACTCTTAAAGACTTTAATCTTAAGACTATAGTATTCTGTAAGCGCCTGTGGAATGAGGGCGACTTAGCAAATACAGCCATATTTGGTTCAACTCATCCAGCTTTAGAACCGTTCCCAACGTTCTTAGATTAACACACGACGTCGGCTTTCAGCCTCGTTTTCCCCGGACGCAGCGCGTCCCTTCCACCCGTCCAGCATCCCCACGGACTGCAGGACAGACCTTTCTCCTCCGCCTCGTTATTCCCTGTGATGAATCCGCCTCGTCTTCCCACAAAGATCCTGCTTCCAACCCGAGATCCCGGGCGACGCCTCTCCGCGCAGAAGCCGCGGGAGGAGGAGGAGAAAGAGGAGGAGTAACGCAGGCCCTCGCGACGCCGGCCTGTGGGGAGCGGGGGAGCGGGGGAGCGGCGGACCGGCGAGAAGGGCCCACCCTCAGGAACGGTCCGGCCGGGCCCAGCGAGGATGTGCCCACCCGATGCTGGTTCCGTGACCGAGGCGGGTGGGCGCGGAAGCGGGGCGGGGGAGGGCGAGGCTTTCGCGGCGTCTGCCCGGCCTCAGCCCCTGGGCTGCCGGGTGAGAGACATGGAGGACTGGTCAGACCCTGCGCGTCCCTGGGGCCGCTGAGACCGCACAAAAGGCTCCCGGCCGGCCTCCCGCAGTGTCCTCACCTGTGCCTGGCAGCCGACCCGCCGGACCTGCAGCGCCGTCAGGAGAAGTCCTGCGCAGCGCTGGGAAACGACACGAGACAGCAGCCTGACGGGCAGCGACAGCCACAGCTCCGCTGCCGCCGGGGCTTCCAGGTTCGGTTCCCGGGAAAGAGCCCCGCCCCTCTTCCTTTGCCCCGCCCCCCGAGGGGCGAGGATCCCGGATGTTACCTCCTTCGGCGCTCTGGCTCCCCGCCCTTTCTTCTCAGGCCCCAGCCCTTCCGAATGCGCTACGGGTCCTGCGAGGCCTGGGAAGAGTTTCGATGTCTCTAGGGTGGCTAGAGCGTCCTCCCGCGCTGCGCCGCGCTGCAGGTGCCGGCGCCCGGAGGCTGTCGGGAAGTAGGCGGGGTGACGTGGGGTTGACGAGCTCGGCGGCGGGTTTGCTGAGCTCTGTGGCCGGCGGCAGCTGGTGCGGGGGGCGGCCGAGAGCGAGAGGTGGATCGGGGCGGTGTGTGGCCGGGGCCATGACGGGCAATGCCGGGGAGTGGTGCCTCATGGAAAGCGACCCCGGGGTCTTCACCGAGCTCATTAAAGGATTCGGTGAGAACCAAGGGGACCGTCCTGGGCCTGGGGTCACGGGAGGAGGCCCAAGCTGGGCATGCAGCGGTTCCTGCGGCCACCGCCGCCCCGCATCTGAAGAGGGTGACTTGAGGAACCTGGACTCGGGTGGGGGCGCCCTCAGCTCGAGGCAGTTGCGTTTCCACAGTAGTTTGAAGAGCCACACCACGAGGGCGAGGATTGTGCCTGTCTTTGCCCGCGGTTCTCAGGACTTGGCACCCGGGTCCTGTAATTGACTGGGGTGCCCTCTCTCCAAGCCCTAAGCACACGTGGTCCTTCCCTCTGCCCCTGCTGCGGCGCGCACCTTCTCCCGGGCTGCTGCGGCCGGTGCGTGGCTCGGGCCATCGGTCCTGCAGAAGCCACCCTGGGTGTGCCTTCTCAAGGAGGGGTGTCTGCGGCCCAAGCCGCCCGGGAACTCGACATTCTGGTTCCTGAAAGCAGAGCGCCCTGATGTGCGAGTAGCTCCTCAGGACGTCCACACACGCGACCGCGTGGGCCAGAGAGGCCACTTCACCGGTTCCGATCTCTGCTCTTTTCTGGCTTCCGGTGAAGTGAGTTTTCCTGAGCTAGTGTTCTAGAATAGAGCCCACCTGCTTTCCTCGCAGCTTCTCCCTGGCCGTATTTAGTGCCTTCTGTCCTAAATCAACACATTTGACTTTTCATCCTTCCCTATTTTGTTGCCAGTCTTTTCACAGTACGTTTTTGCTTTTTTGTTTGTTTGTGTAGTGGTGCGATCTCGGCTCACTGCAACCTCCGCCTCCCGGGTTTAAGCGATTCTCCTGCCTCAGCCTCCCGAGTAGCTGGGATTGCAGGCGCCTACCACCACGCCCGGCTAATTTTTGTATTTTTAGTAGACACAGGGTTTCACCATGTTGGCCAGGATGGTCTCGATCTTCTGACCTCGTGATCTGCCCGCCTCGGCCTCCCAAAGTGTTGGGATTACAGGCTCATGTGAGCCACTTGCCTGGCGGGGCAGTACGTTTTTATCTGTACATTTCCCATGTATTATTGATTCTATGATGTTAAAACTTGTACGCAGGATGACAAACGTTGATGTAGATATTGCCTATTGTACATAGCTTAACATTTGGAATGTCGTTTATCAAGCATGTGTTGTTCATCTATATCTCAGGCACAGTGGTAAGGATTGGGAAATTTTCATATGAATAAACCATAACTGCTGTTTCGAAGAATTGACAAACTACAATATGGTGTGTTAATTGCCATGTTCGAGTATGTACAAAATGTTCAGTACACAGGTCATGGGGGAACCCAGGCAGAAGGAAAAGCATAAACAGTAGTGATGGGCTTAGCGAACAGCTAGCAAAGTGACTAGAACATAATGTAACAGACTGGAGGAATATTTATTTGGATCTGAAGCCAAAAAGATAAACTGAGGCCCGATTGTATGCCATGTTGTATAGTTTGAATTGCCCTGTAGTCACTGGGGATTTACCTATCAAGTATATTTTAATGCTGAAACCTTACTTTCATAATTAAGATTTGCTGTGCTTGTAGTGTGCAGGGCAGATTGGAATACAGTAAGAGAAGCTAGGCATCTCTTAAAATGGTTGGAATCTGAGATGATTGGCTAAACTGGTGGGTCAGGAAGGAGGAGTTAGATTCAGTAAGTTTGCTGTATTTAAAGCAACAGTTGCATGTGGAAATATCTGCTCTTCATTCCTTTGGGAGCAGAAATACATCCATAACATGCTAAATTAAAAAAGGAGTTATCAGGGCTGCCAACCTTACAGTAGAGGTTGAGTGGTAGTATATTACTCCTACACACATAAGAGAAAAAAAAATCGACAGACAGCTGACTAGACTGGGAAAAAAGAGGCAAAAATTATTTTATGGTTTCTAGCCTGCATGGCTCATGAAACACAATTACAAGTGAAGAGCAGGCTTGAGGGACAGGAAAATGGATTCAGATTTGGACAGATACTGAGTTTGAGATGTCTGCAGATTTAGCCATACCTTCAAAACCTTAACAATATGTTAAAGTTAACTTTCAGAAATGTACTAGGTAAGTTTGTTTACTGCTTCAATTTCATATATGCAGAAAACTTGGAATTGGAAATCATGTATGAAGGAATGATATATAAATTCATCTTCTGTACATGCACATATGAAAAAGCAGTAGCTGTTAATAAATTGGCTTCATTAGCAGAAGAACTTGTAAAAAGTTAAATGATGATAGTTTTATGTCATCATCAGATGTTACAAAGAGACAGTTTATTCCCATTATTTCCATAATTTTCATTTTTTTTTTCACCCAATTTATAGAATAAAAATGCTTTTGGCAGTTGATTCTTTCAAAAGTGAAATATCTGTATTGTGAATGCTGTCATTAATTCATTTCAAAAGTTCCATTATTGAAAGGGAAATTAATTGTGTATACAGTAAGTATGTAAATACAAATTTTGGTGGAATGTAATATAATTAAATTAAGAAACTGGTGGAGTGGAACTGTACTTTTAATTGGTATGGTCCATACATAATACATATGAGTGCCAAAACAAACTGCTGGTCTATTAATAAAAACAGAAGCTATAAACATTTGCTTCCAGCCAAGATAGAGTAATTGGGACTGGGTTCACTTTTCTTGCAACAAACCAATAACCCCAAATTTTATTTTATTACAAGAAACTAGAAAACGAGAGCACACTAAACCTAAAGTAAGCACATGACAGGAAGTAATAAAGATCAGAGTTGAAATTAATGGAACGGAAAAGAGAAAAAAATGGTGAAAATAAATGAAACTAAGAGCTGTTTTTTTGGGAAGATCAATAGAATCACTCTAGCAAGACTGATCAGAAAAAAAAGAGATGTTCCTGTATTTCAGTATAGGAATAAGAGAGGTGACATCACTAAAGATTCCACAGATGTTACAAAGATAATAATATTATGGACAACTTTATGGCAATACATTTGACAATTTAGAATGAAATCTGCAAATTTCTTTAAAGACACAAATTACCAAAGCTCACTTAAGAAATAGATAACCAGTATATGCCCTGTATTTATTAAAGAAATGGAAATTGTAGTTTAAAATTTTCCTGCAAAGAAATTCTCACCAAGGTGACCTCACTGGTAAATTCTATCAATTATACAATATTATAAATAATACCACTTCTACGCAAACTCTTCCAAAATAATTGGAGAGGAAGGAATGCTTCCCAATTCATTCTCTGAGGACCAGCATTATTCTGACACCAAAACCAGACAAAGATATTACCAGAAAAAAATCACAGACCTATATCCATCATTAACTTAAATGTACAAATTTTAAACCATTTTAGCAAATTGAATTTAATAATTCATTAAGAGAACAATACATCATGACTAAGTGGAATTTATCTCAGGAATTTAGGATTGGTTTAACATTCAAAAATCAGTGTAATGCACCATATTAATAAGCCAAAAAAAAAGAAACATGATTATGTCAATAGATGGAAAAGGCATTTAACAAAATCTAACATCTATTAAGAATTACAAAGTGTTAGATTTTATCCTGCTTCTCAGCAAATAAGTTGGCTTGAGAGTTTTATAGATGTTAGCAGACAACTTTTGGTTTAGAGATAAGGGTTGTATCATTCAGCATAGTAGGCAGCAGGAGATTCATTTTCACATTGGTTCCCTTTTCCTCTGAGTTCGTGAGGATGGAGGTGGACCCTGGTGGATGCTGCACACATAGTGAGGCTGTATTATAGCTGAGGAACTCTGAGCTAGAGAGTTAATGTCACAATGGGGCTGGTGGCAAACCTGCTCAACTTTTGCCTTTAAGGACACATTATTATCTTGGACAGCAAATCAGTCTTCCCTCTACCTTGGAGAAAGGCACTATTTCTGTCTTCCAAGTCTGTTTACTATATGTACATCCTTGAAAAGATGGTTCAGAGCAAAGCTGGTAATTCCTTGCAGAAGATGTACAGAAATAAGAGACACCTATTGAGAAAATTCTTCCAACAATATTCACCCTTCCTTTCTACACTAAATAGCCATTCCCTCAGCCATTCTGCTCAATATGACCTGAGCAACAGGGTTGGCATTTGTCTCTTTATAGTGTTTACAGTAAAAAACCAGATGGCTTTCTTGGATTTTTGTATTGACATTTCCTCTTGGCTCAAAGGGTTAATCCAGGTACGGGGCAGAATGTATTAGAGACTCCACCTTGTTATGCAAGGAGGAAGAGTAATTCCGTCATCTATGACAGCTCTGACCCATGAGTTAGGGCAGATTTGAATGGCTTTTGGGTCCAACGTGGTGTTTCCTTAACATGAAAGTATGACTGCTCCTAAGGTACATTTCACCTTGTTTTGAAGAGAGAGGGATAATGCCTGGCTTTCACACAAATCTTGGGAGGCACATGTTGCCCCTGGAAGCAAGTGCTGCTTACAATTGTTACAGCCCCCAAAATGCGACCAACTAAGTTTAGGGGTACAAGGTAACAGTGCCTGTGATTTAGGGCTCCCACTTGAAATAATTGGGTCTAGTCCTTGTTTAAGGAGATGCTACTGAGGGCTGTCAATCCAGTTTTTCCTATTTGGTCACATCATTAGCTAAATGGAATTTATCTGTACCATGGAATGACAGAGGGGTTGTGAAAGACATCTGGGAGTGTTTTTTTGCAGGGTGCAGAAGCTGGGGTCATTCTTGGAGCTTCTGATAGACTTATTGGTAGGAGTAGGGGAATGACAAGTTGTAAAAACCGTCTGTTGGAAGATAGCATTCAGCATACTATCAGTCAGTTAAATTTGACCCACTGACAACAGTTTGGGAGAGCTCCATGAGTCTTTTTCTTGGGGATCCAGGTTGATTTTTAAGACAGCTATTTTTGAAATTCGTTTCCGAATCAGAACTACTTTATAGACTGATCAGTATAATACAGATGTTGATAAATAAATATTTCAAAGCATTTTAATGTTAACACCCCTTTCACTTTGGAACATTATTCTAGTTTAGATGACAAATCATGTGATCATTTTTTCTTAAAGACCCAGTTCACTTATCCATGACAGTTTTTTGTTTTTTTAACCCATGCAGGTAGTAATGATCTCTCTTGCTTCCAAACTTCCAGAACATGTTCTATGTATGATTCATATGTAATTTACGCATGCTGTACAGTTTTTGCATTGTATATGGTTGTCTCCTACCAGATGGTGACATTTTTAAGTATTGTGGCAATAGTTTATTAATTTCTGTCCTTGCCAGGGCCTAGTACCATGCTTGGCACACAAAAGGTACTTGGCAAATACTGTTTTTAAAACCTTCCTCCCCCTCAACTTTTTATTTAATATATATTATTTGGGGAGTCTGTATTAAGTGATTCTTTGTGTTTAGTTTTTGATACAATTATATACCTCACAAGAATTTTGTAACTTGGATGAAACAGGTATACATGAGGAAAGTGAGGCTCAAATAAATTGTGTTCTTTCTCAAGGTTAAGAACTTTACAACAGTTCTGGGATCAGAACGTAGGTCTCTGGAATCATTGCTTATTTCTCTTTCCATTATACCATGCTGTATTAGATATTTACTATATATAAGGAGATAGATGCTAAATTGAGTACAGTACTGTGTTTTCCTTGCATGAAGAGATGTGTTTGTGTTTAATGTGAGATTATTTAAACAGTGTCACTACTTGAAATTCTACCTGTGCAGAAGGCTTTGAGGCACTTTTATTCAGTGTATTTTTTCTTTATTGTTGTGGTATAATATGTAGAATGTTTTAACGTTTGGCCTGTTTTTTGATTGCCAATTGAATTAACTAGTGTTAACAATTGACTGAGTTCCAGTAGAAATAACCAGTGTTAACAGTTGACTGAGTTCTAATAGAAGTAGCCAGTGTTAACAGTTGCATTAACATTCTCCCATGCCCTTCCTGACACTGATAGAAACATAGGTTTACATTTACATGTTTTTCCCCCTAATTTGATATATGTGAATGTCTATTATTCTTAACTTTTTGCCAGATATTCAGATTTTTTCTGGTTCCCCTCCACTACAAACCATGTAGTAACTTTCTTTGTACGTATATCTTTAATACCAGAGTGGACACTTAAGAGATGTTTGCTGAATGGAGCAAACTAAGACACAGAATGGCATGAATGCCCAGTCACATTGTTAGTTTACCCAACTGGTTTTTCTTTTTTAACCACTTATTTTTAAGTAGGTAGTCTAAATGCTTCTCTAGCTTTCGCTTGAAAATAACCTGAAAAATCAGAAAGTGCCCAGACTTTGGAACCTGATGTGGGTTTTAATTAGTTTTCTGGCACATACTAGCTGTAGTGAATGAATATAGGCAAGTTGATTAATATCGAAAAACTCTTATGTTAAATTCTTACCTTGCAGAGATTAGAGAAAATACATTTAAAGCACTTTACATAGAGGACATAAAATACTTTGGTAAATATGTGATTAATACTGACTAACAGTTGGGGGACCCTTAAAGTGTGCCGGGCACAGAATTAAATGTATCTCCTACATTATCTCATTAATTCCTCAAAACAGCTCTATGAGTGTGAGGAAAGGAGAAGTTCAATGGTTATATTGCTGTTAAATGTAGAAGCCAAGATTCAAACTCTGGCAGTTTGAAGGCCAAGCTCTTAACCAATACACAATTACTACAGTACACTAGAGCAGAGTTTCTCAACCTTGGCACTGTTGATATTTGTTGTCAGAGGTTGTCCTGTGCAATGTAAGATATCTATCAGCATCCTTGGCCTCTACCCAATAGATGCTAGTAGCAACCCCCTTACCCCTCACACCAGTGATAATAATGACAATAAAAAAAGTCTATCATTGCCAAATGTTCCCTGGGGGGCAAAATCACCCTAGTTGAGAACCACTGTCCTAGAAGAATATATGAGAGGGGAGGAGATGTGACTCTGAAATGGTTGAAAATATACAGTTGGAATTTAGGATAAGGATCAGAACTAAAGATGTGATTTGAAAGTTACTGTTAAGTGGTAGTTATTTATTTTTTTAGAAAAAAAAGTGTACAGAAAGGAAAAAAAAAATACAGGGCTAATGGCAGAGCTGGAGAAATAGAACAGTTGAGTGAAAGGTGGCTAGAGGAGCCAGAGATTGAGAGAGACAGAAGGAACAGTCACAGAGTGGTGATTCAATGAAAATGTTGAAACTCTTTAAATTATAAATATAGTCTCATTGTAAATAATTGGGATCTATTAAAGGAAGTAATGAGATTTGGCTGTGAGCTTTATTAGAGTTTTACCATTTTGTTTTGTCCTGTCTTGCATTTCCTTTAGTTAACATTTTATTTCATATTGAAGGAAAAAATGAATTATTCTATTTTCTAAAGAAAATAATTTATTATTTCAGGTTGCCGAGGAGCCCAGGTTGAAGAAATATGGAGTTTAGAGCCTGAGAATTTTGAAAAATTAAAGTAAGTTTAATTTTAGTTGTATTAACAATAATAATAATATGTTTATACTTTAGCAAACTTAAAGGATATTCACTTTTTAAAATTTTACTTGGATTACTCTAGGCTGAATACATTATGTCCTTTAAGTATCTTCAATCCTGTGAGATAGATATTATTATTCTCATTTTATAACCAATAGCCTGAGGCTGATAGGTACCCTGCAAGGGAGTCAGACCTAAGTCTCTGTAATTCCGTATCCACAAAGTACTGGTTGGTTGATTTTACAAAATTCACTTATATATCAATAGTGTTAGAACATGGAACACACTTTAACATAAAAAGCAAGAATAATAGGTCAATATACAAAAGCATATTTAATAGATATTTATAGTAATCCCGAACTTGCCTGTACACCATCACACTGCTTTTGGGAAAGCTGTAGTTCAAGTTTCAAATGTTGATGGCAGAAACAGCTTTTCTCCTTCCCTCATCATTCTGGCCAGAATCACCTCTCTTAGCTTCTCCTTACCCCTGACCACCATACCCTCAGATATTGACCCTGTGTCTTCAAATGGAGGGCTAGAGGAAATTTCACTGGTGGGAGACTTGGAGTCTTGGAATAGGGTCAAGGAATAATCTTAAAAGGGAAAATAGGGACTTAAGGATATGCCAACTGTTGTTAGTAGCAAGAAGGAGATACGTAGTTTGCTTCCCACCTTCCTCTTTCTGATAAAAACAGTAATCACTTTAGATGAAATTAGATCATTTATAGCTAAGATCATGGAAGGTTTATTAAAAATGCATCATTTGAACTGTCTTTAAAAAGATAGGAGCCAGGCATGGTGTCATATGCCTGTAGTTGTAGCTACTCGGGCAACATAGTGAGACCCTGTGTCTAAAATAAAATAACGTTGAATCAAATAAAAAGATGGGAAAGTTTGTTTTATTTTTTTGAAACAGAGTCTCACTCTGTTGCCTAAGCTGGAGTGCCGTGGTGCGATGTTGGCTCACTGCAACCTCTGCCTCTCGGATTCAAGTGATTCTTCTGCTTCAGCCTCCCAAGTAGCTGGGATTACAGGCACAGATCGCCATGCCTGTCCAATTTTTTGTTTTGTTTTGTTTTTGTTTTTTTTAGTAGAGACATGGTTCCACTATGTTTTCCAGGCTGGTCTCGAACTCCTGGCCTCAAGTAATCTGCCTGCCTTGGCCTCTGAAAGTCTGGAATTACAGATGTGAGCCACCATGCCCAGCCCTGAGGATAGGAAATGTTTTTTTGTGCAGTGGGAGGCAGTTGTGATAGATAGACTAGAAGGAATTTTAAAATAGTGATTTAATATTTTGTGCTCAAAAACAGTTCGTTAGGAAAGTGGATGATTTCATTATGTATGAGATGATAGCATCCATTCATATTGCAACATGAGGATTGTTCATGAATCCAATAATATATGAAGGTTACTTCCTGTATTTAATATAGGTAATATATGCTATCAGCCATTTATCTGTAAACATCTTACATGAGCTTTATATATTTTGGAGTTCAGCCAGCTTCTAGTTTTACTATGTTCTTATTTTTTAAGTGACATGATATCAAGTAGAAATGAATAGTCTACAGATTTGAGAATAAACCTTTCACTATAATTTTATTTTAACTGATATAATCTTAAGTTGTATTAGCGTCTTCTAAGGCAACAGCCTAGTGACTGTGAGTGGCAATAGCGATCTTTTAAACTTTTCTCAGATTTAATTAATTTACTTCGTTTGCATTCTATTTGTTAAATAACTGACTAAAGTGTATTATAAAAGAAGCAGGGTTTGATGTCACTAATTCATATTTTATTTTGTAGGCCAGTTCATGGGTTAATTTTTCTTTTCAAGTGGCAGCCAGGAGAAGAACCAGCAGGCTCTGTGGTTCAGGACTCCCGACTCGACACGATATTTTTTGCTAAGCAGGTATGGTCCTTGGATACTCTGAAAAGTCTCAAGAGCAGCCCTTTTCATAAACAGGACTCTAGTCTACTATTATTTGCTTCTAGTGTAGTAGTCCTCAAACCCTTACACTCTTAAAAATTATTGACATTCTCACTTACACTCAAAACTTACTGACATCCTGAAAGAGCTTTTGTTTCTGGGATTATCTATCTATATTTGCCATATTAGACATTAAAACTGAAACATTTAGTAATATTTAGGCCTGGTGTGGTGGCTTATACCTGTAATTCCAGCACTTTGGGAGGCCAAGGTAGGAGGATCCCTTGAGCCCAGGAATTTTTTTTTTTTGAGACAGTCTTGCTCTGTTGCCCAGGCTGGAGTGCAATGGTGTGAGGCTCACGGCAACCTCCACCTCCTGGGTTCAAGCGATTCTCCTGCCTCAGCCTCCCGAGTAGCTGGGATTACAGGCACTTGCTACCACACCCAGCTAATTTTTGTATTTTTAGTAGAGGCAGGGTTTCACCATGTTGGCCAGTATGGTCTTGAACTCCTGACCTCCGATGATCTGCCTGCTTCAGCCTCCCAAAGTGCTGGGATTACAGGCATGAGTCACTGTGCCTGTCTGAGCCCAGGAATTTGACACTAGCCTGGGTGGCATGAGGAGACCCGGCTCTTTAAAACAAAAGCAAGGCCAGGCATGGTGGCTCATGCCTGTAATCCCCAGCACTCTGGGAGGCTGAGGCCAGGAGATTACGAGGTTAAGAGAGCTAGAACATTTTGGCCAACGTGGTGAAACTCCGTCTCTACTAAAAATACAATAATTAGCTGGGAGTAGTGGCAAGTGCCTGTAGTCCCAGCTACTCGGGAGGCTGAGGAAGGAGAATTGCTTGAACCCAGGAGGCAGAGGTTGCAGTGAGCCGAGATGGCGCCACTGCACTCCAGCCTGGCGACAGAGTAAGACTCTGTCTCAAAACAAAACAAAAAAATAAATTAGCCACATGGTGGTGGCATGCCTGTGGTCCGAGCTACTGGGGAAACTTAGGTGGGAGGACTGCATGAACCCAGACTATGGAGGCTGCAGTGAGCTATGTTCACACTACTGTATACTCCAGCCTGGGAGACAGAGCTTGACCCTATCTCAAAAGAATAAAAAGAAAAAAAGAATTATCAATAGGTTTAAAAGTAATAAACAATAAACTTGTTACATGTTAACATAAATAACATTTTTTAATGAAAAATAACTGTAGTTACCAAAAAATTAGCTTGAAATGTTTTACATTTTCGCAAATCTTTTGAATGTCTGCCTTAATAGCACAGCTGGACTCTCCTATCTGCTTCTTCATTCAGTCTGTTGTGGTGTTTTTGTTTTGTTCCGCTTTTGGTTGAAATACATGCAAAAAGTTCAGTCTCACACATGTGTAGTTGGAAAAGGAGAAGTATTATCTTTTTCAGGTAAATATATTTTTTGACAACATGTCAAAACTTCAGAAGTATTGCTTTCTCATAGGTTAGTTGTAATGTGAAATTTGTACTTTGTTGTGGTAAAATCCTTTGGATTATCTTGCCCTTCAATGAATCTTTTATTCCTGCATGATTTTGTAACATTGTCTGTTTACTGATGTATGAGTATCTTCTAAGTGTTGATGCATTAGATATGATATCATCTATATTATCAGAGAAGTTACCCATAGCAAACCTTTTAAGCTCACAGTGGCAGATCTAAGTTTTACAAAATTCTAATTTTTAACTTTTCACTTGAAAATTCAAATTTTATCAACAACAACAGATACCATTAGGTGTTTGTTCACAAAGCAACACGCTGATTTAACTCATTTTTAAGAAAATGTCTGCCATATATCCTCGTTTGTCTCTCATTTATTCTTTCAAGCAAAAATGATGTTCCAAGGAAAAAAGCTACCAATTTAGCTTACGAATCACTTGCCGAAATACTTTCTTCAAGATAACTAGCATATCTCAGTATGTGACAGTAGTTCTTTATTTGTACTTCCTATTTCATTCCATGGAATATTAAAGACTTGTACTCCAAGGTGAAAATTTGATCAAAATAACTTTTACTGCTTTATCAAAGATGATTTTTAGTAAAACTCGCTTTTTGTTTTGTTTCTTTTTTTAAACTCTTATGTATGTCAGTGAAATAGTTTCATGCCACTGCCTAGATTCATGCTAAAATACTAGCAGTTTTACACACTGTTGCTTTTGTGCCAGCAGGGCAGATGGAAAAGAAGAGGAAAAGGCAAAAACTGTCTTAGAATTATAGTGGAAACCATTTTGAGCTCACAGACCCCTTGAAAAAGGTCTTAGGGATTCTTAGAGCTCCTTAGATAATACCTTCATTGCATTTGTTTGAAAATTACACATATTTCTGAGACCCAAAAAGTTGCTTAGAATAATCTGATTAACCTTTAGAAAGGTGGGGAATAAAACTGTGTATTCTCATGACTGCATTTTAGATAAAGCCTTTACTACTCAGTAACTTGTTTTCCTTTTTCTTTTATTTTATTGCTGCTTTCTGTTTTCCGCTAACTTTTTTGAATTGAGCATTCTTACAGAAATTAGAACTTCTTGCTTTTACTTTAAGGAAAATAGGAATTTTTAATTGTGTAGTTAAAAATGTGTAATTTTTTAAAAAGCGGAATTTAACATTACAGAAATATAAATATAGTCATGAAAGTGAATATTCTTGTAATCCCATACCCATTTCTACTAACACTTTAACAGTTTGACTCGTCCATTTAATCAACAAGTAATCACTGAGCACCTACTTTGCCAGGCATTGTTTTAGGTACTAGGTATGTAATAGTTAACAAGAGAGGCGTGTTCAACAACTATAATGATATTATTAATGCAAGCAGTAACCAACATTTGCTCTTGCTGTGTGCCAGATACTGTAATTTAGATATATTTAGTCTTTGCAACAACCCTGTCAGGTGGTTATCTTCATTTCACAGATGAAGAAATTGAGGCCTAGAAAAAGCATTTGCCTGAGATCACACAGATAATATGTAGTGGATCCAGAACTTAAGTTCAGGTATAAAACCCAGGTTTGTGATTCCATAGGTCATACTTCCTTCCCCATTATTTTCTATTCATATGCTAACATGTTTTCCTTATAATTTTGTTTGCTAAAATTGGATTATTATGCAGAATATTTTGTTTTTTTCACTTAGTAGTGAAAGTTTGACTTTGTTTCATTTTAGCACACATAATAAATATTAGTTAACATTTATTGAAGGCTTACTAAGTACTTTTTTTAGTACTTTTATATATGTTTAAAATTTAAATATATATCAGTTATAAATTTATATATAAATTTAGTAATTATTGCTTATATATTATATATACATTGTTATATTTAATATTTAAAATTATTAATCTGATTCCCTACAGCAGTTATCTGGTTTGGTAGTTTCCTCATCATTTTACAGATGTGGAAACAGAGTTCTAGAGAGGATAAGAAACTTGATCATATTACATAGCTAGTCAGTGGCAGAGCTGGCAAACCCAGGCACTGTGGCTCTGAAGTCTGTACTGTTAACCTTATCACAGCACTGCCTCCTTTAGTGTTCTAGGTATAAATATCCTATAATTTAATTAGTCAACCATTTTGAGTTTCTTTTTTTTTTTTTTTTTTTTTTTTGGGACGGAGTTTCGCT